ATGGGTCCCTTGTGGGACAGTTAAGCATTATTAAATCTTAATTACTGTGAAATATACAAGTAAATGTTTGTTAACATGTTTCCTATTTGTACATTTTTAAAATGAATTCCAGTGCCCCCCCCCCCTCCCACGAACACATCCACACACCCCGGAGACAAGGACTCCTTCAGGACGTGACGGATGGCTCCGCCACTCGGGCGGCTTTCAAATCACAGGAAGTGACAGAGGAAGTTTTAATGAGAGTTTTGTCTGTGTATCCAGTCGGGGCTTCCAAGGCAGCCGATGAATAATAGACACTGCGGCTCAATACTCAGAATACTCAATCAATGGCGGTGGGAGAGGGCCTTGGCAAACACACATGGCAGCCCACCTCCCCCCCTCCGCTCTCCTCCCCCCGGGTGTGTGCGGGGGGGCTCAGGAGGGGCAGAAAACGCTAAAGCTGCTCCATCTGTATCTCGTCTTCACTGCAATGTTTCCCGCCGCCTGGCGATGACGAACGGGCCGCACAGAGGCTCCCTGCAAGGTGCTCCTTCACTTTCCCCCCCAAGCTCCTGCATGTCAACGGGTCCCCCGGCGGGACCCAACCAATCCGCTGGTCTTTACGCCGGGGGGGGGGCATCGGCGGGCATCTCACGCCGGCCTGTTGTCTGCCGCCCCTTCGCGCTGTGCGCGGGGGGAACACGAGCGTGTATGAACGCCGGCCGGCGGTGACTAATGAGGATATTATGTAGCTATTAGTCGGAGCTTATGTCCCTGCCTCCTCCTCTAAGCCGCTTTGACACAACATGCGTGCCTGATATATCGCAACACCGTTCCTTCATGACAGAACATCTGATTGACCTTTTCCGATAAGACGCTGCGGCGGCGGGGGTGTGTGTGTGTGTGTGTGTGTGTGTCGTGGGTTTCCGTGGTGATCACTCGGGATTTGACGGATGAGGGGACTCCGGGGATTTCTGTGCAATGAGAGATAAACTGGAAAACAGCCCGTTTAGTCTGTGCTGTCCGTGGGGGGGGGGGGAGATGCCGCGGGAAGCCCCAGAGGAGGCATTTCTGAGAGAACCCGGGTCACGGCGCGGCTGCTGCATCACTTGGAGGGAAGTGTCGTTGACGGCGATTTCTGTTTCTATTACGGCCTCCCATTTGTGTGATGTTGAAACATTTGCTTTAAGGGAAACGCAGGCAGTGAATCGACCAGACACGACATTGATCGAGGAATCGCATCAGAGCGGTTCAGCTAATCTAGTGTTTACTTGTGTTACCTGTCTGGTCATTTTACTGCCAGTGTTCCCAGTAAGACCTCATTAGTGCGGGGCGGAAACAAACAACACCCCGGATGACGCTACAAGGCAACGTGATTTGTTGGGCCCTCCTCATACTCCCTGACTGCTCTCTCCGATTGACGGGGGGGGTCAACTCCAGGTTCACTCTCATTTTGGAGTTAGATATAAGCGTGTTTTTGGCGCGGTTTGTGCGCGCAATGTCCGCCGCCATTCGGATTGCGATGTAGCCCCCAGTCGCTAAGTCTGTTTTCCAGGTAAACGTCTCGACCAGACAAGAAAATAATGAAATCATGTATCATGTATGCACATCGCACCAGTGGACAGACTACTACCCCGCCGTGAACCCAGGGGTCCCTTTCCGTCCCCTACCTGTCCGTGCATTCTGCCCGTGCTCGTTGCTTCTTTACCTCCATCGTGATGTCATCAGGGTGGGGCTTTGGCGTGAGGCCTGAAGTTGGCGGCTTTTGTAGCCAATGGAACGTGCTACTTTCATTGTGAACAAGTTGTCATCCAGGGGCTCATTGTTTGGGGGTTATATGTTTTTAAATCTAGCATGCTCTTGCTGTGGTTGCACAAGATGTCCTGCCGTGCCTTTAACAACGATTAAAATAATACTTTGCAGTATGAGCTGGCAGAGAAGCTCAAAGAAACACCAACAATCTTTTGAGTGGGGCCTCAGTTAAACCCCAAAAAAAGAGTGCCATCCCACTGGAAACGGTCGTTTCCTGCCGCAGTTAACCCCTTATGCCCCTTGTTAGGGGGCTTTATGAGCGCGTCATCGGTTTCCCTACTAAGCGTCCGCCTTACCCTCGGACTCTGCACAGCGACACTGCGATGACACCCGGAGTCTGTGTGTGTCAGCTCTCCCGGGACCGGACCACTCTCCCTCAGCACAGATTGGAGGTGAGACCTTGGAGGAAAAATGATTACTTTTATGTTTGCTTTATGGCTCATTTTTCACATTAAACCGCAGAAAATCCATGCTGAGGTCACAGCATTCCCACTTTCCCGCGTCGGCCGGAACTCATTTTTGCAGCCCTCGGTATCGATAAAGCATTCAGCGGAGCAAAGTATGCACCGATATGTACTGCAGCCCTCAAGTCTCTTATTGCCCTTTATTCTTACAGGCAGTCTGCTGGGACGTCCGCCGCTATCCGCCGGGCTTTTTGTGGAGATGCCAACACGCAGACAAGAGGTGGCATTGCCAGAGCGAGTCGTAAACCATTGTCTCACTATCTACAATTACGGCAATTACTCATTTCCCCCTTGGACCCCCCCCCCCCCCCCCCCGCTCACGGTGCATTTAATAGACTGCATTTTACTAATGGTAAATTAAGTAGCCCGCGGTGGCAGCGGGGGTTTATAAATATGTAAAATATACTTTTAATTATTTCAAGTGAATCTGGCGGCTGATCAATAAAGAGGGACGTGACGAACATACGTCTGACGCGGGCTGCCGCGGATGAAGATGAAGAAGATGAGCGCCGCCTGTCAGCGCCGCGCCGCACTAATGAATATTTTGAGGCTGTCACGCCGGGAGACAAATGGATTAATTGCAATGGCTAATATAATAGCTTCTTCATGAAGAGTGCAGGAGGGAGGCAGAGGAGAGGAGAGCGCGGCCGCGGCTGCCAGCTTCTCAACCCCCCTGTCAAATAAATATTTATCAGCGTGGGGGGGGGTTTAAGTAGATTTCTCGCGATTACACGGGGAGGCACTTAAGCGTCGTCGTTTATCATTTTATTTGAGAATTGATTCGGGGCGATTAGTTTGGTGTCATATTCATTTAGCATTTTTTGAGGGGGGATTCGGCCTGAGTGGGGGTGTTAAAGTAGAGGGTTTCATCATTTATTTCTAGTTCTCAGTTGTTGTTTTTACTGCAGATGACAGTTGTTGATGCGATCATTAATCAGTGTTGAGGACAGATTTTTGCTTAACTGATGATCTCATCCACAAATTAAGTAGTTTTTTCTCCCCCATCATTTGAGAGAGCCCTATATTTCCCAGAGCTCAAAGAGAAAGCTAAGCAAAATGTTTACATATGCCCATTAATCCAAATGATTTCTGGTCATCTACAAATTCATCCGGTGGATGTTTTCGCGCTGCGCGGGCTTTTACTCCCAGGAGTATCCCTGCTATTTATTTACCAGATAGCCCGATGGAAACAATATCTTTTTTATACATCTCATGTGTCATATTTCAAAAAAGGGCATTTCTATTTTGACCCGCCCTCTAAAATAATTTACACACACCAGCAGCAGCTTAACAAGAGGGTGCCCCCGTTGTGACAGATAGCATTGCCCCCCACATCCCGGCCCCTCTCTCCGATCAATTTCTTTCTCTGGGTCTGTTGTCGGGCACTTTGAGGGAAAGAGGACATAAAAGACCCACGTGTGTGTGTGTGTGTGTGTGTGTGTGTGTGTGTATGTGTATGTGGCGGGGGGGGGGGGCCTTCCTGGAAGCCGTCCTCTCGCGATGGGAAGCTCGTGACCTTGAGTCCGTGCCTTTCGCCCGTCGACGTTCCCGCCGCCTCCGTCTGTCCTCCACCAGAGCAGGAGGGTGGGGTTGGGTGGGGTTTGGTGGGGAGAGGGGGGGGGTCTTGGGTCACCAGCCGCTGTTCTCATCAATTAAATGTGCGACAGTGTTTTTTCCTCCACGTCGGCTGGACCTGTGTGTCAAGGAGATGGGCAGGACCTCATGTTTGTGCTTTTGACAAATCAGCAAATGTTTAATCTCAAAATGTGCCAGAGCTCATAAATAATGCAGAGGCCGTGAGGAGGAGGAGGAGGAGGAGGGGGGGGCGAAGAGAGGCGTCTGGCCTCAATAGGGGAAAACGCAGGAAAAACCCCTCAGACTAAATCCTCCTCGGTGCCCAGAAGCTTTTCTTCTACGGGTGTCTCCTCCTCCTTGATCACACCCCTCTAAGCTCCGTCACTCCTCCTTCCTGTTACTGTACCTGAGTCTGGCCATCCGACTTCAGCGTGCCCCCCCCACACCCCCCCTTCTCTCCCTCCTGCCCTTTCGTTTTTTTCACCCTCTTTTTCTAAACATTGGGTCTTTATAGTAAAGCTTGCTCAGCGCCCTCTTCGAGGGCAGGAAGGAGACCGATGCAGAGCCAGAGGTCCTCTATCTCAAAGACACAGGGGATTGAGCCCCCCCCCTCTTACCCGAGTGCAAAGACGGCGACAGAAAGCAGTGTAGCGGTCTGTGAACCGCATCAAATCCCCTCCTTCCCACAAACTTTGATTGGTTTGTCCGCCGATATGGGAAAGTTCTCCTATTGTCCGCGGCGGGGAAATTAAGATTTTAAGCCTATTGAAGTCGATAAAAAAAAAAGAAATCCATCTGAAAGTGTTTCAGCCTTTGAGAGCCGGAATTGTTGACGGGCCACATGAGAGGAGAATAGGGTGGAGGTGGAGGAGGAGGGGGGTGGAGTACTGTACCAGGAGCACCTGTTGTTGTGTAGTCCAAGGTGTGCAGCTCCTCCAGGAGGTCAATCCTTTGCACACTCAACATGGTGAGTGGTTCATCTTGGGAAAACAATGGGATCATTTGTGGCTCTTTGGCAAGTGGGGAATTTGTTTCTTGTGGGGGTTTTGGAAGTTCATTTCATCCGTAACGTGGAGACGCTGGATGGGATCAGGGTCTGGTAATAAAGATCTATTTGTATCAATCTGACTCCCCCCCCCCCCTCTCTCTCTCTCTCTCTCTCTCTCTCAGGTCCTCGGAAGTTTCTACTTTATCCACGAGTCCTTGAAAAACATCCACCAGTTTGATTTCAAAGGTGAGTACCCTAACAACCCCCCCCCCACCCCCACACACACATAAATCACCACATAAATCCATCCCTCCACCCCCTGCACATGACACACAACCATTCACGGGCCATTCCGGCTTCCATCAAAAACCAGTGGAGCTAAGATTGGCTTGATAATGTAACGGGGGGGATGGTAATGCTTATTAATATTGGGATTTAATTCATAAGATTTCGGGCCTGGCGGTAATGGTGTGCGGCGGGTTATTGGACAGTTACGGCGCTCTCATCAGGCTGCGGTGTCAGAGGGCCCGGGGTCCGCCGGCCACGCTAATTAAAGGAGGGGATATAGATGTGGAGGCGTCCCCGCTTCCTATTAGACCCAAGTCAGCATTAGAGTCAGTTGCCCTGTAGTGAAGGACAGGGCGAAGACGGGGGCGGGGTTGAGAGGGAACCGGAGAAATATATATATAAGGGCTGTCGACGCATGTCAAAGTTAACACGTTCCATGCTATTCCATGCGATTATTATAGCCGAGATTTATGCGATAAAATGTTTCAATCCAGTTAACGCAACTTTGTTTACTTCCTGTGTGTTGAGCCCTGAAACCGCCGCGTGCTGCAAGTCCGTTAGATCAGAGAGACCGAGGCGGAAGAAAGACGGACAGAGCTTTTTGCATCGGAAAACAAACAGAAGAACTGTGCAGAGGAATTCCTCCACGTGTCAAACCGAAGGGGATGATGGCAAACGGAGCACTTTAGGGCGGACAGTGCCGGAACATGTTGGTAGCTGCCAGGCTACACTGTGTCCCTAAACGACAGTGGTGTGGAAAACGTCCTGGCTAAATGTGGGGAGATGTCGGCGTCACACCCTCTTGTGATATTTGAGTGCAGGGGGAAGCATCACCAAGGTTCTGAAGTACTGCGATATTGGTGCGATCCGTCTTTTGACCGCGGGTGGGGGAGGGCTGGGAGTATTTGGCTTTTTTTCATTGTTTGTTGGCAACAAGAGATTTTGTGTGCACACACACACACACACACACACACACACACACACACACACACACACACACACACACACACACACACACACACACACACACACACACACACACACACACACACACACACACACACACACACACACACGTGGGCCTTCCAAAAATCAACCAACTATGTTTTGTGACAATAAACTGTCCCCCCTCCTCTGCCTCCGTCTCACCTCATCTCTCTCCTCCGTCTCCACTTGAAGCCAAGAAATTCAAGAAGGTGGTGGGGAAGGAGACCTACTCTGAGACACTAGAGAGCACGCCGTCGCTGGAGAAGGAGAAGTTTCCCCAGGACTACTTTCCAGAGGTGGGTGACGTGACAGGCGACACTTGGCTGACTGATGGCGGGGCTGTCGTCTCGTGGCAGCTCTGTGCCGGGACGGGGGCTGACGGATGGAATGAACACAGAGCTCTTTTACATCGCATGCAGGTTTAATAAAGCTGCTGAATTGAAAAAGTCATCAATCAGGGACACAAACCAATGACTTTTGATTTATTTCCCCCCCCTAAACAAGATTGCAAAAGAAATCGTATGAAACACCTGAAGCTCCAGACTTGTTCTGTTAAACCATGCCAGACTTCAGTTAATAATTCAAACATTTTCTTTCCCCTACTTTTTACATAATTTTACAGAAAAGCCATTTTGTTTCCAATGTACCTCTTTTCTGTTTTTAGAGTCCAATTTTACTTTTTTCTGCTCCGAGGAAACCTGGCTGACACGCAGCTGATTTGAAGACAAATCAGTCACAAAAATCCGAATGCCGAACCCCGGGGGGGGGGGGGGGGGGGTCCTCGTCCTGTCCCTCGGAGCAATTCCCCCCGCTCGCTCCGCCGTGTTCGGGCATTTCTGGTGTGTGTGTGTGTGTGCGTGTGTGTGAGCATAGCTGTGCTGATATAGTAATAAAGAGCAGCGCCGCCCGCGTGTCATCCCCGCACTCCCCACTCATCTGTCAGCCATGCTCCGCCGGCCGCCTCCGCAAATATATGCAAAACAGATGGATACGGCCCCTTCACACACTTCCCCCCCCCATTTTTCGTCTCTTTCACCCACTTGCCAGGAGACCCCATCCGGATCGGCCTCCCCCCCTCCTCCCCCAACGCGCGCACACACACCGACACGCACACCCAAACATCCTCAGGTTTCCCCCACGTTCCGCCGATGATCTAAAACCAATCACGCTGATTGCGGCGGACGCTTTGTTCTTTGCTTTTTTAGCGAGACGGGCAAAGCAAGCGCGGCAAACAAACGCGGCGTGGCGGGGAGTGATGCAGGGGGAAAGGAGGTGTAGGTAAGGTAAAAAAGTTTTGCCCCGGTGATTTATGCCTGGATGGCGGCCGGGGTATGAATCTGGGATGATGTGCCGGAGAGCAGCACTCCAGATAATGTTAGCCCATTTTAAAAGAGCAGATTTGTGTAGTCTATCAGGGTCGGGCAAGTATTTTATTTTTTTCTCCTCCTTCCCCGCCCTCTCCGGCTCCTCCGCCGCCCCTCCGTAGTGAGAAATTGGTTGTTATCATAGATCACAGATACTGCTCAAACCTCTTATGAAAGATGAATTAATTTCACTAATGCTTTAATGCAAAGCTCTCATGAGGGAGGCAGACTGGTGATAACCCCTGCCTCGTCCCCGCTTCCTCCGCCCGTGATTTATGCCCTCTTTTAGTAGATGAAACCGCCTAGATTTGCCATCCATCTGCAGCTTTGAGGAATCCTATTACACCGGGGTGTGTATGTGGTGTGGGAGGCGGGGGATCTCGGGCCGGTCGGAACGCCACACACACACACACACACACACACACACACACACACAGGAGACCTGAAACCAGTTGCTGGAGTTGCGGCTCTCAGATTCAGACTGAATTCAGATTCAGACAAACGTTGAAAGCCGACCCGGGACGGATTACATGTTTACCTGCTCGTAAAGAGGAAGAAAAGTGTTGTATCCTCCCAGGAAGGTTAGAGTGACAGCAGACCGCTCAGGTGGTCTGTCTGTCTGTGTGTGTGTGTGTGTGTGTGTGTGTGTGTGTGTGTGTGTGTGTCTGTGTCTGTGTGTGTGTGTGTGTGGGCGTCTTCCCTTCACGATCCCCCTCGTTAATAAAGTGTCAGTGAGCGGGATGCTGGTGACATCATGGTGGGACGGCCGAGCGTATAAAAGAGGAACCGAACGTCATTTGCTGCATTGAGCGTTTGCGCGTTGGACTCATCGCGATGAAAACGGCCAAAATAATGTGAATTATCGATCCGCAAATGATTTTCCCGCCATTGAACGACCACGGTGTCCCAACACCTGATGTGATGTGTTCAAACAACCAGGAGATTGTCAACTGATATAAAAATACACAAACTCAAAGGTACTAAAGGGTATGATCGATTGATGTATGATGTCAGGATAATAGTGTTTGAAATTGGCTGGTATTTATTTAGTCATATTTTGTTTTACAAAATCATAAATATATTTAATTTCAATGAAAAATTCGGCAATAAAAAGTTCCTGCCAGTCATCCCATCTTAACTGTCTATTAATGGCTGCAGTGCCCAGTGGCGAAGCAGCGCGCAGGGAATGAATAACAGTACTTAACGTTGAACGCAGACACGAGGCCTTCCATCTCTCCTTCCATCTCTCCTTCCATCTCTCCTTCCATCTCTCCTTCCATTTCAAATGCTGAATCAAACAGAAGTGGACAAAATCGCCGGCACATTTCGCATGAAAGGTCGCCGTGATGGATTCGGCGGCCCGGCCGTTTCCCCCGTTGTTCCGTCAATCTCTCCGCGCCCCCCGCCTCCCCTGTTGGGGTGTTAACATATTTATTTGTTTGGCTTGGGTAAAACGTGCCTCCAAAAGCCATTGCATCATAAGGATTTGTCATTGCCTTATATAAATAAAGTATACGACCCAGACCTTAATGTGCCCTTGCTATTGATTGTTTTACGCAGGCGGTATGAAAAAAAAAAAAAAAAAGACAGACGGAGAGCGAGAGAGAGAAGGGAACCGGCAACTGGCCGTAGATCAACGTCCGTATGTGTTTGTTGTTTGGCACGGCGGAGCGCGGCCATAAAAGCATTGACTCCTCGTACCCTTTTAGTGCCCTAAGCTTCGATACGGGGCTGCGATTACGTGAAACCCCCCCCCCCCCCCCCGCTCGCTCCAGTTTTGATTTAAACCTGCAATGTGCAAACGCGACGCCCTGGTGCAAGGAGATGAAGTCACTCAAGCTGGCATCGCTTGTAAAATTGCTCGCCGTGTTTATCGCCGCACAAGACACCTGTGACACAGATGGCGCTCGCCGCCACGTTTGGGGAGCTCGTAAAAGGATGAGGCGATGAAGGGGAAGCTAAGCGAAGGCCTTCGTCCATTACCTTTTGTTTTACACTGATGCGTCACAGAAAGCTAAATAGAGTTTCACGACTGAAACATCCAATTTTGAATCCATTTTTTTACCTTTGAGAAGGTAAAGAAACGGCGTCGTGTGGAGCGCCGCTCTCTGTACATGGTGGTGCATCTTTATCCGGACACACACACACACACACACGCATATATATGTTGACATGCTGTCCAGTCATATAAACCCTATGTGAGCCCCCACACACCCCCCAGTTGATGGAATAAAGATAAATGTGACTGTCTGCAGGGCCTCAAATCAATCAGCGTTTGTGTGTATTACTTATTACTCACAGTGCATTTCTGTCACAGGGCTTTTGTCTGACCCCCCCCTCAACAAACGCACACGCACACACACACACACACACACACACACACACACACACACACTCCACTGGCCTGCACTATTCTATCAGACCCCCCCTCTAAACATCACCCCGTCATAGTGATATTTATGGGGGTCGGACTTGGAACTGACGTATAAGAAAGGTCAAAACTCTGTGTGTGTGTTTGTGTGTGTGTGTGTGTGTGTGTGTGTGTGTGTGTGTGTGTGTGTTATTTTACCGGAGCGTAATCTTCTTAGTCACAATTGGTGAGGGGGGGGTTTATGTAGTGGTTCTCAGTAGATCCGGTGGTCCTTCTTCTCTCCATCACCCCCCATCTTGTCTTTAGTTTTTGTCTTATTTCCTGTCTGTCTTGTTGTGTGTGTGTGTGTTTGTCTCCCCCCCACCCCCCCTCCCGGATGAGACCCGCTGTGTCGCTGCCGTTCATCACTGCCACGGGCGGAGACGCCACCGCTGACCTATGAGAGGTCGGCCAATGTCAGCCCCCGAAGCCTCGCGACCTTTTACTGCTGCCCTTTGACCCCACCGACCATCCCGTCCCCCTCTCTGTGCCACAGACCCCTCGCCCCGACGTGTGATATGATTGCATGTCATGACTGTGACGGAGCATGGCGAAATCCGCACATTGGTTAAAATCAGCTGTTTTTAAGAAGGGGTGTGTGTGTGTGTGTGTGTGTGTGTGTGTGTGTGTGTGTGTGTGTGTGTGTGTGTGTGTGTCGATGGGGGAGGAGGGAGGTGATGATGATGATGTCTCAGCAGCAGATTAAATGGGGCCGGACAGCATCTGTGTCATCGTCCCCGCTACCCAACATCAGCCGCGGTGACCAAATCATGATGTCATTGTGTCAGCCAATAGAGAGAGAGAAGGAGACGCTTCTCTTCTACACTTCGGTTGCGTGAGATAATCATCTTAAACGCACTTCCATTACAAAATAAAATCACTTAGATTGGCCGAACGAGACGGTTCCTCCTGCTTTACGATGTAGATGCTTGTTTTACTCGAGTCCGACGGCCGGTACGAGCGATCTTTACTGCATGCACGTACGTGTGTGTGTGTGTATGTGTGTGTGTTTATCAGTAAGCGATGAAGCGGGGGGTCAATCAGTCATACGTGGAGGAAATGGGGCAATCTGGGGCCGGGTGTCAGGGAAAGTGATGGATTTTAATGCCGCAATTGTAGTTAATGGCTCTTTAAATTAAATCGAGAGTAAACGTCTGGTACGGGCACTGAGCAAACCCCCCCCAACACAAACTCCCCATCTCGTCCTCCCCAATACTTCAACTTTATATCAACAAACTCATTCGGTAATATTTCTGATATGATCCAATTCTGTTGGTTTAAGACCCTTTTTTTCATCTGTTTCCATTTGCTGCTTTTCAAAGTCATAATGTCGGGACAGCGAGTTATAATTGGGCCCATACATCCTACCGAGGTCGTATGGATTAATTCAAGTATGCTAATGTAATTCAATTTGATACAGTTAATCTTGCACTAATGCAGATTGAAGGATGTGAGGTGCAATCAAATACCTCTTAGCCCTTTTAATTTGCTCCAGAGTTTCTTCTTTTTTTTTTTCCTTCTTTTTTTTAATAAAATTAGTCAATTTGTAATTATGTGACCCGGCCCGTAATTAGTTTATTCATCACTGCAGTTAACTCCCCATTAAGAGTATCGGAGCGAGATGGACAGGCTGAGGGGAAAGAGACTTATTTATCTTTTCAGAATAGGAACACTCGCAGCATCAATTTGTCTCCCGCTTAATAAGCGGCCTCACGGTGGACCACGTGCTGTTTGGGCGAGCTCTCTGGACTTGTGATTGGATAATTAACTCAAGGCTGGTGGAATCTGATCAAACAGCTGCATGCTGGAGGTCTGCACCGGGTGGAAATCTTTATTTTGTGTGACATTTGGCCGTGCAGGCTGTGACTTAAGATCACAGAACTTTTCTCTGCAGTTTGTCTGTTAGCTCGATTTAAACAGGTTTCCCACCAAATACATTTTTTACGAGTATATTTGATCAGCTGATTTTAGGGTCAGTGTTGTTGTACTCATACTTAAACATTTTGCCAAAACTGCAGTGAGAAATGTACTTTTTACTGCAGTGTGTATTTTAGCGCTTTTGTTATTTTTTTTACTTTGTTAAAGATTCAATAAAGAAATATGCGAAGATTGAAGTAGTGTATATATTGTATCAATAGTATTCAGTAATATAATGTAATTTAACACCGTTGTGTTAATATTGTAATGTGGTTAACAATCGAATGCTTAGTTTTATTATCAAATTTGTTTCATTAAAGATTATAGCATAACTCTTAAATCAAATCAATAAATTCTTTTTTGGGTTAGGGTTTGCCATAAAAGTACAGGACTGGAGTTGGATGGATGGATGGACTGGATCTGGTTTTAATTCAACATTTAATTATTAAGGGACAGTGTGTAGCATTTAGGGAGATCCATGAGACAAAACAAAGTAAAATCTTCACAACAATCGTTTTCAAGTACAAACCCCTGAACCTAAGAATTGTTGTTTCCTTTAGCTTCTTCGTAGGGAGCAAGTCCTCTTCACGCAGTCGGCCATGTTGGACCATGTTGTCTCTACGGCAGCCCAGAATGGACAAACCGTGGCTCTGGAGAGTGAGATCTTTTAAGGTCTTGCCGTTAATTATACGCCACTGTAGTTCTCTCTTCGTCTTACAGAGGGAGCAGTGATTTGAGGGGTATTCAGTCAGCTGCAATCTGCATGCACACCACAAGATGCCGCCACAACCCACGCACTGTCCCCTTTAATCCGTCTTTAATCAGATGTTTATCCGTGGCCAAGTCTTATTTCATTAAGGAGAGGAATTTCCTGGGGCGGAAACTCAACTTGAAAGTTCGTGACGGTGTTGAAAAATGTCCGCTCCTGGATGATCGACATTGATGCCTGTGAATCGTTTGACGTGCCGGCGTTTCATTTGCCTGCCGCTGACCGAATCCCTCCTGTTGTCTTGCTAAATTGAGTCTCTCCGTTCCGCAGTGCAAGTGGTCCAGAAAGGGATTCATCAGAACTCGCTGGGCCCTGGCAGACTGGTGAGTCCCCCCTGCAGAGACACATCCCACCTCATCTCTCTTCCTCCCCGAATCATTGCAGGGGCACCATTGTGATTGGAGATGTGGCCGGCCGTGTCGGTCGAGCCCCGGCGGGGGCTGCGTGAGGCGCGCTGGTGGTCACGGAAGGAGAGGGACATCCAGTACATAGCCGAACCCTTTCCGGACAGTGTCCCAGGGAAAACGCCGGCCGGGATTTGATTAGACGTAATCGCGTTAGTCAAGCAGTTGCATATGACGGATGACCAAAAAAGATTACATGCAATTGAACCTGCGCGGTATGAATGAAAGAGGGGGGGGGGGGGGGCGCTGGCTTCCACTGTGAGCAGAGTGGGGGTTGGGGTCTGTAATCTAATAGAGGGATGACATGAGAACTAAAGAGCTGAAACGGTAAGCATTTAATAGGGGCATGACGTTTGACAAGAGCGACAGAGAGAGGGAGGCTGGTAGAGGGGGGGGGGGGGGGGGGGTTGGGGGGGTTGGGCAGGGAACGCCAAAGACGAGCATGTCCTCATTTGTTCAGGATGTCGCCTGCAGAATAAAAAACCCTCGAGATAAGACCAGGTCGTGACGAACGCCGCGCTATCAGAGCCCCCCGCCCCCAGATTGATGGGGTGAGCGGGGAGGTGTTCATCACTGTACACCGCGCCACGGCCGAGCCATTCGTCCAATGTTAATCGCTGTTTTGTGCTTTCCACTGTTAAATGAATGGGATCTGATGCTTTGGACATTTACACTTCCTAAACTAAATCTTGCAGACAGAAAAAGTTCCCCGTGGAGTAGAATGTACTTTTATTGTCACCTGGTTGAAGCCATTTTTTATGCAGGCCGTTGTTAATTAACAGGGATGCAACCCGGCACAGCAGCGAAAAGTGGAAGCAGTGTCCTCTGTTAATTGGATTTCTGGTCAAAACATTCGGCCCCATTTCATCTTGCATGGAGGGAGATGCTCTGTGAAATGAGGAGCAATTTTAGCCTGAAAGACCAATCTGGATAAATAATCTGGATTTCAATTCTGGTCACATTTGTGGGCAGCGCCTTGCAGCGTTCGGTCCGGTTTGGATCCCTTTAACCCGATCCCACTTCCAACGACACCACCGTGACAAATCGGATGATGTGTAGCAAGTTGGTAATGATAAAATGTACTTGTTTCATCTATCATTTAATAAAGGGCTTAACGAATGCCTCCATTCACAAACCTCTCTCTCTGAGGATCTGGAGTTTGAACCAGAAGCTCATTAAAATGCACACAGGGAACTTGTATCAATGCTTAAGTTGATTACTATGTTAAAAGGCTTAATCCAGTTGGTGAATTTACTGGAGAATAATTGATTGACGAACCAGCGATTGATTCGTAATTGCACATTAGCCTCTCTTTTTGCCACTCTGAATGAAGATGCTCTGGTTGAAGGTCTCTCACACTGTGTGTTCTTTCCCAGTGCCTTTGATCTGGTGAACATCCACCTTTTCCACGATGCATCCAACCTGGTGGCCTGGGAGAAAAGCCCCTCCGTCTACTCTGGGACCAGGCAGAAGGCGCTGGGCTACGCTTTAGACAGGTAACGTGCCGCCCCTTCTAATGGAGATAATATTGTCCATAGACAGACCTCTTTGTGAGAAAATAACTAAATAAAGTGTTGGTGTTTGAGAATGTGGAAATGCAGACAAATGTAGGCGATGCTTTGCACAATCCCCGTCTGGCATGGCAAAACCTGTATTGATATTATAATGGCGGCTTAGAGTGGGAGCGAACAGGAGAAGATTTCAGTCCTAGACCAGTGGGATTACATGTGTTGGTAAAAGTGGGGTGGGGGAGGAGGGAGGAGAGGCTCTTACTCACTACACGGCCTGCGAACTCCCAACTCTCTTGTGCATTTTGAATTGCGCTGGTGAGGCGCTCGGTGTAGCGATTTGGTTAAAGATTTCTCCTCCCGGCGCGGAGCCTGAGAGTGTCCAAACAGGCCGGGCCGTCTACTCCCAGGCCACGCTAATGTGATTTATGGGGTATCCATTTGCAGCCGGGGCGGAATGAGAGAGGGCCCAGGCGCGAGCCCTGCGCCCCACCCGGCCACGCTAACCCCCGACCAAACGGCCCAGCTGCAGGTGACCTCCCATTCAGACGGGCATCAGAATGTGCGACGCGGCTCCCCGACGCCGCCACTTTGAATAAGCACATGCATGTACTGGTGGCATACATTACCGCCGGGCCCTCTGACGCACGTAAATTACGAGGCACTTTTTAAAAGTATTCTCTGCGATGGTCGTATATTACCTGTGCTCTATTCGTGATTTGATGCAGGAATGGTCCGCTTTTAATGGACAGGGAAGCTGGAGCGTTTACAGAATATGGCAGCTTTTGCTGTTTTATTACGCTGTAACTTACCTGGATTTACTGGCATAATTAAGTTCGAAAAGGGCCTCTGTTGTTGCTTACATCTAAGTGATTTCCCTTGTATTTCCTCTGCTTTCATCATGCCTTTTCCGTTGATTTATTTCCCCTCCCCTTGTAAAATGCACGTAAATAGCCGAGTCTCCGGGCTTGAGCTGGGTGGCTGAGGGGGATTGAATAGAAATTGTCTTGGCTGAGTGGCAGTTTCCACGCTCCCTCTTTCTAAATCCCCTTGTGTGGTGAATGGTAACCTTGTTGTTACTTCTGGGCCATATCATTTAAAGGTTCTTTTTTTCCCCTGACAGGGGAGGGGATGAGGGGGTAAGTGGTGCAAGGCATGTTGGTGGTGCGGTCGTTATACATCCCGTCTCCCCCTGGTATTCCAGGGGTGGGATAGTGGTGGCATCGCGCCTCAGTCGCTCACTTTGGTGCCGGGGTGGGGAGGGGGGGTTTGGTGTTCGTTGGGCGCAGATCCGGGGCACCGGAGTGAGAAAAAGCTGGCGGCGCAGAGGGAAGGGGGGGGGGAGCACAAAGGGTGCTTGGGCTCTGTAAAGGGGCAGTGAATAATGGGCCGGTCCTTTCACAGAGGCTGCTAACCTTTTGGCAGCCACCAGCAAACTCCATTCTCCTCCACCGATCCTGGAGGACAATGTGCCCGGGCCCGGGCTTTGAATGAAGCGCTACCACCAACAGTGTTCCCATTCAGCGGCTGGTTGGGAACCATCTTTTTGGCCATTGTCCTAACTCTGACTCCTACCCCCAGAAAGCTGAGCAGGAAAAGGGGACAGGGGGGAATATCTAAAGCCCCCCCCCCCCCCTGCTTCCTTCCCTCTTCTCCCTGCTTCTCTCTCCCTCCCTTCTGAACTCTAATCTCTCATCGCGCGATGGGAGAGGAGAGGAGAGGTCTGCTAAACAGAGCTTGGATCCAGGCGGTGCAGGAGCCCGCTCGCGCGTCAGTGCCGGGGACGCTGCTCCGCTGCCGGAGCCAGGGAATAAAACTCCAGCCTCCACCTTATCTGGGGCCCAGGCCTAATAATGCAGCTTACGGGCCCATTGAGAAGACATCTGATAAGCCTTTTTCCCCTCCGCGGCCCTTTTAACTGCTAAACGGTGTTTATCTCCAAAGTGCTTCAAGGCCTCGGGGGAACAATGCAGAGAAGGAACAGCGTTTAGCCAGACAGGCCCCTCGCCACTGAGTCACATCAACAACAACAACAAAAAAAAAAACACAGCGCTGCCCTGTGGCCCACGTCACGACTTCCAAGAGAGGGAAAGCAAAGCTGCGATGGAAACGCATCCCCTGCCTGCTTTCCTGTGCTTTGAAAAAGGCTCCTCTGAGCTTCGGGCTGCGTCGGCCACTATTTCCCTTGTTGACTCAGCTACGCCTTGATGTGGAGAATCATTGTTTTATAATTACGACCTTGGTTAATGTGGGGAAAAATCCGTTGAGTGATTCAATGGGATGACAATAAGGTGATGGAATTGGGATCATGAAGAAGAAAGTCTTGAAAGTGATGCCACTCTAGAAGATGGACAACAAGGCTGCTGAATGAAACCATGAGATAAACTCAGCAGGTTGTTTTCCATCTTCCTTAAAAAAACAAAATCCCTTTTGTGGGTAGGAGTGAGCTTCGTTTTTTTCACCTCTCTATTCAGAGCGGCTGGTCCGGTTCAGGGAAGAACAGTTTTACATTACAACTGTGAAATCCTGGCATAAAGGCGCCTTTTGTGGCACGCCATTATTTTCGCACAAATATAGTCCATTGTCAAAGTGTTGAAGTTAATTTGATCAACATTGGGGACATTTAACTGTTTTGTCCGCTGAAAGGAACTAGTTTCATGCTCATTTTCGGGGCATTGAAAAGCAATGATTGGCAGAAAAATAATGTTGCCGTTAACAATTCAAAGCAATTAGTTTCCCATGGGGAGGCACTGGGCCGCACTGGCCACCACACAGCGTGGCTTTGTCATTTTATGGACGGTCATCAGTCAACTGTCAGAGCGTCTCAAAGAGCCCTCCAATCTAAATGTTTCCCTTTAGGCTTTTCCCAGAACAACAGGCTGAAAGAGCGGAGAATGGCCAGCTAGTTTCCAGCCAATAGACATGTTGAGCTGCGAGAGGGAGGACTGGATAATCACAGGGAGATCCTCCAGAGAGCCAGAGTGAATTCATTAAAGGGAGTGGTGTGTGTGTGTGTGTGTGTGTGTGTGTGTGTGTGTGTGTGTGTGTGTGTGTGTGTGTGTGTGTCCATTTCAAATGGAGAGCAACAAATGTTTTATTTTAACGTACAGCCGCTAAATTCAAATTGCATTGTTTAATAAGGTTAGTGTTTTGTGTGTGTCTGTGTGTCTGTGTGCGTGCGTGTGTGTTGGGGGAAGGGGGGGGTTAAGGGGTGACTCTGAACTGCCTTCTCACCCTGGGAGGCCTGAAGGAGCAGAGGTTAATCTTCCCCAGTGTCTCTCTGCTCAGAGTGGACCTGTTTATTTCTCTCACACACACACACACACACACACACACACACACACACACACACACACACACACACACACACTGTTGCCACAATCCCAGAACTTTAAAATAAAATCTACAGTAATACAGCGCGCCCAGAACAATCAATTATTATTTCTACATACAGATTGCGTGTTATCAGCCAGTGCATCATCTGACGGAGGTTACTTGTGTGTGTTTTGTTGTCAGTCCCCTATTTCGTCCCATGTTCTCATCAAGCACTGTATCAGGAACAGAAACGCCACTAGCTTCTCCTAACATCCGGGCATTCAAGCACTCAAATTTCCCAAAAGCCGAACGACCCTAATGTCTGGAGGGACAGTTTTACACTAGAACGGCATTTTCACATCTCGAGTCTGCGGCGCCGGCTCAAGCGGACTCATGCCGTAACCTCTGTGTGACCGCGCCGACGTCCTCGTACCCCCCCCTCTCCTTCGCACCGTCTTCCCTGCACGGTGTTCTCGGTCGGGTGGGTGTGTCCAAAGGAGCCCGGGTGCCCACGGGGGGGACGAGAGAAGGGCTGTCCCACTGTGTCAAAGGTCCCGACAGGGGCCACCCCTGCCCCATTCAGACAAAGTCACCCAGCACATTCTTCACAATGTTAACATTCTCCCAAATTCTCCACATTTGCGTTCAATGGGCGACCGCGCTCGCCCCCCGGGGCTATTGTGTGCAAAGTGGGATCCGAACGGCCAACTTATGGTAAGTCAACTTGTCAATATGATCATGACATGCCCCCCCCCCGTTGCACCCTCATAATCTCATTCAGTCTGTTATGGTTCGGTTTAGCTGTCAATCATGGCGTGTAATCTGGTGAGCAGCCGCTGCTGTGAGGGGGAAAGATTTACAGACGATGAGTGTTACCTCGTACACATGACTGATCTCTGCAGGACGAGCGTTGTCAGCCGCTGGGGGCGCAGGCGTGTTACGCTTTAGCGCCTTCACGTCCGTGGCATTTCTCGCGTTGAATCTGCAAACGGGAAAACGCGCTTTGTGCTTTCGGTTTAAAGAGCCTGGGAGCAGAGTCTGGGCCAGTGTTATAAAATAGACAGAGTCTGACCCCATTCTTTGTGCGGGCCCCGAAAGGACTGCCCGGCGAAAGCTCCAGCCCAAACCTCAGTGGGAACGCCGCTTGTGAAGAGCCTCTTTCAGGGGTGTCACTGCGCAATGAATTGCTCGGTAGAAGCATGTTTATAGACTGTGTAAAGGAGTGCGTCTTTGTGGGGGGAATGTCCACCGACACCGTTACAGTTTGCCTGAATGAACTGCAATGACGCGGCTAATGGGGCGGGGCCCCCGTCGTGGGGGCGAGGGTCGGACAGAGGGGTGCCCCTGCCCCCCTCACCCCCTCCAAGCTCTGGGACCCCCCACCCTCAGGCCCCTTTCACGCCCAGTAGCTGTAGCTAATGTCGCAATTCTTCGTCCGTCCATTGGCCCCCCTCCGCCCCTCCGTCCTCTACAAAGGCCAAGAAAAAGTCAACTTTCGCACCAGCGGGTCACCACGAGTGCTTTAGGAAATGATCGTGTAAACAGAGTGTTACCTTCTGACCTGTGGCTGATACCTTGGAGCGGCAGACAAAAACAGCCGGGCTGCGGGTATTAGACACGGCTGTTAGCGGGATAAAGCTGCAGAGGAGGAAGACATCCAGCCTCGGAGGAAACGCGCTCTCTTCCTCCGCTTCTCTGTTCACTCTTTTTCAGCAGGGGCAGCGGATGTGTTAAATTCTCTGTAAGCTCAAGGAGTGCAGGAGTTCCCACGCCTAGAACTACGGCTTTGACGCCCGTGCTCAGCCTTTTTTTACGGGCCTCCGTTGGAGCCAGTGGGACGCGCTGACCACTAACCCTGTTTGAATAGAGCTGGGTCTCTTAGCACCAGGATGTAAGGTCACTAATGACATCAGGCCCGGTTTACTGTCAGCGTGTGATGGAGCTTTTAGCTCAGAATCATGACCGTAGTGGTTGGGAGCACATCTGTGTTACCTCAAGCTTAAGAAACCACCTCGCTGTTAGTCATTAACTTTGCCAATAATATTTCATGCCTTTATTATTTTATTTATTTCATTATAAGTGGCAACCTCTAGTTTTAAAACATGAAGCCAATGCTAGCGCCTTAAGCTTGCATTCTCTCTAATGGGCAACAGGGGGCGACGACTGGCTTCAAAAGCAAGTCTCATAGTGTAGAAGTCTATGAGTAAAGTACTCTACTTCTCGCTTGTTGACTATATTGACTATATCACTGCTTTGTGATTAACAGGTCGTTACCAAAGCCTCATAATCGAATATGGTTATTTCCTTTCACTGACTACAAAAAACAAGACGACGGTCCTAAAATGAAAAGATGGAAGCACCAATAATGCCAAACTCTACGTATCAAATCCGCAGCCCACAAACCCATTGGTCCCTTTGCTCTTGAGTGACTCGTGAGTGGAGCTAAAACGAGGAGACGGTGAATAGTTTAGTTGATGGGCAACAAGTCAAAGATTCGCTGGTTTTGGGTTCTTAAGTGTGGGGATTGACGCTTGATCTGAAGATGTCAAATAGTTTGGTTTGGTGGTAAACATGAAATTAACACTTCAAATGTTAATCCTCTACCTGAGAAATCCATCTTAATGACAATTAGGAAAGCTCCGTACCAATCCAGGAACGGATAAGGATGTCGGATCTAATTTTGAAGCCCTCATCCAGGAAAGAATGGAGCAGATGTCCAACATACGGATGAGACCGCCTGGATGGACGTTAATGATTACATTAATCATAACCGCAAAGCATTTCCGTTGTTATTTTGGAGACTGTAAATCCTTCCAATGACCCCTCTCGGAGAAAGACGGGTTTCTGTTTAATGTAATGCGATGTCAAAGTTGCATACTCTCTATTTAATATAATAGCTCTTCACTCCAGTCACCTTCGTCCTCCGTGTGTTCCCTCGCTCTGAAGAGGAGAGGCCGCCGTGCTTTACGACTGCCCGCCGTGCCACAGCCGAGACCCACCGCCGAGGAGAGGGGCTTCCTCTCTTTACGGCCCCATAAATATATTGTTATCTGGGCGAGATTTATCCACGCGGTTATTGGAGATAGCGAGCGCAGCATCCTGAAACATTAATTACACAAGAGGCTGCGCCACGTCCGCCTCGACTCCCCATCTCTACTCTGTAGAGGAGCCACTAGTTTAGTAGGTGACGACGCAGAGGAGTTAATTAAATGTCGCTTAGCTGAGTTTTTGCATTGTCTATCTCATTATTTGTTAGCAGTGGGATGCTGGCGCTGTGGGTTCTGGGGGATTGGAAGTGTTCCACGACAGAGATGATCTGCACACAGTCAATCAACCAACATTTGCCCAACAAGAGACGGGGACACGGGGCAGATTCCTCTCTGGAATCAAGAGTGTAGACGCATTCGTCGGTCCTTCAAGCTCCTTGAGTCGGTCTGTGGTCCAACTTGAGACCCACAGGGTCGGTGGTTTGCTCTGAAGCAGCATGCGGGTAGAATAACTTCAGGGGTCGGGCTCGGTTCGCTCTCCCCTTTGATCGACTTAGCAAAGTGAATTTTCTTTGCCTTCAAAGGAACTGATTAAACGGAGTTTATTGATTTGATTGTGGTGTCAGCTGAGAATGAATTGTGTGTTTACTTGTAACTCTTGAGCATAATCAGTCTCTCTTTCAGCCGCAAACGTGGAAAAAGTTTGTTTTATTTTTGTGCTTGATTATTGTCAGGAAATACTGTACATTGCTTCTGCTGCTCAGAATTCTGATTTTGCTTCCTGTGTTACAAGCCGTTGAAACACTGACACACCCTCCTCCTCACGTATGAATCACTAATGTGTCATCTTGGGCCTCCCTGGGAACCAGATCAGCCTCCTTACACCCAGCCTGCGTGCTCTGCGGGAACATGAATATTTACCCACAGAGGTTGCCAGACCACGAAGGTGTTCATCTTCCAATCCAAGTGTGTGTGGACCAGCAGGTGGTGCTGTGGCCCTCGTGAACTAAATGGGCCCCGAGGTGTGGGCATTCATCAGACGCAAAGACTTTGACAAGTGGCAGCATGTGTTCAGTCAAGATGGCGGTCATCGGGCCCGTAACCCGTCCAAACCGGCGTGCAGAGCTCGGGATCGCGAGGAATGATTCCGGCTCTCATCCATCACGGACGTTCGTTGAAAACATTCCTCGCTGACAAGTGTTTGTCCTGTTTTTGTTCTTTTTTCCATCCAGGATCACGGACCAGCGGCACGAGAAGCTGCCGTATTTTGTCTTTGGGGACTTTAACTTCAGGCTGGACTCGAAGCAGGTCATTGAGGTGAGCTTTCCTTCTGTGTGATGGAAGTCGAGTGATGGGACCTCACAGCTGGCGTCAACTGCATGCCGATCTGCTGTACACATGTGTTAAGCAGTCTTAAACTTCACTCACTACAAACTCTGTGTGCATTAGAGAGCGACTGCCATGCTGTAAAAGGGGTTTTAGGAGCCCACTGTCTCTTTGGAGGTGTGACTCATTAAACGCCTCACTGTCGCTGGCCCAGCTGTGTTTGCCAACGGAGCCCTCGAGGTGCATTGTTATGTTACGGTGCCATTCACTGCTCTTCCTCTCCTGCCTCCCTCCCCTCTTTCTCCCTCCTCCCCTTCTTTCTTTGCTGCAAATGAGGCCGGTGAGGGGCTAAAGGTACAGGAGACGGTGGGCCGGCGGGTGGCATCACAAGCCACAGAGGCCCCACAGACGTTGGTGTCCCACGATAACAGAGTGGGAGAGCCACTCGTCGGCCGATCGCCTCCCTCCACTCGGGCACGACGTCCCTGGGAGTCGTTGGGCCCGTTGGAGGTGTGGGCTTTGTTCAGTTCAGGCCTTCAGAGAGAAGGGAAGGCTTTCTGAATGACCGAGGAGAGGAAACCTTTTCGTAGTTCAGTCATCCGGCCACTAGGGGCGCAGCGCACCGCCTCGACTGACGGCCTCGGCAGGAGAGAGTTTGATTTCTTGATGCGTAATTGGGTCACGTTACCGGCTGGTCATGTGAGCCCGCGCTGCTTTGGAGCTAATGAAGCCTCTGCAGCAGATGTGCAAACACGGAGGTTATTCAGGAGTCAGCTTTGGCAGCTAGATGTCACCCGGCACGCACTGAGGTCGCCACGCTGGTTTTATAGCAACGACGGTTTGTATCTGGTCAACGTGGCTGCAATGAAAGATACGGGGGTCTGCACATTAGACTGACATGAAATGTTACTTATAAGGGAGGTGGGTCGGTGTGCCAATACCAACATTACAGCTGAAATGGACAGTTAGGCCCTGACCTGTAATCTAGATGAAGGAAAATAGTTCCAACAAGAAACTGCTTGAGTTTGAAAAATACAAGAATATTTTGTCTTCGAGTGCAACAAGTAGTACCGTAGGGTGCTGTTATGTAGAGAAGGTAAGAGGGCAGTTTAAATCTTTAGAAATTTGGAGTGATTTGTCCCTTTTTAAGCCAACACTCTCTCCGTGTTTGCCGCCTGCGGCTGATCGAGATAACGCTGGGTGGGAGGCACGCACTGCTCTCAAGTGCTGTTTGAGCGCGGCTGGGGGGGTCGCGACCCCTCTTCCAGGGATGTGTTAGGCTTGCATCGCTGTGTGTCCACCTCTGCGCCACCTCCTCCTCCTCCACGCGGCTCCTTTCTTATGCACCTTGGGCCCCCTTCACATCCACAGCGAATACACACAGACACAAACCAATTTGTTAGGCCAAATGAATCTGATTCAGTCCATTTTAAAGGGGTGTGACTGCTGTGCAGGGGGGCTTTCCCCTCAGGAAGTCAGAGCTGTGGCACACACACACACACACACACACACACCATTTAACCCGGGCGGTCGGCCGATGATGTCACCGTTGTGTAAACCTGTCCTGCGTGGCGGTCAACCTGGTCTCATTTAACGGGGACCTTTGCGACGGACAGCTGGGATGTCACTAATAAACAAACGGATCCCAACCTCGGCGCAGGATGTAACTCACGGCCGCGAGGCCGTTTCCAGCCCTTTTAATGACTATTAATGTCAACAGGACAATTAGCGCACATCCACCCAAGTGCTTAAGCGTAGATGGGCCCGTGGCGGATCGATCGTCCATACTTATCCGAAGATTGATTCCGACACGCAGCACGTTTCTCGCGGTCTGGGAGTCTTTTTTTTTTTTCCTTCTTTTTTTTCCAGCTTTCCTCTCTCTCCTCCCTCCGCTTTCGATCGATGGGGAAAATGGCCCCAAAAAAGGCGTCGCAGATGAATAGGCACTTTAACTTCGTTAAGTGGACGATGTAATCGCACATTGAAACTTGTTTTTGATTCGTCGAACACCCCGGGCAACCCTCGCGCACCCGGTGGGATCGCCAGGCCCCACTTTGGGAGTCAGTGGGTCAGAAAAGGCTCCAGTACATTTCTCTACAGCTGCACGCTACACCACTCCTCTTCTTCTCCACCTCTCGTCCATTGTGGTCGACTAGACTGTGGACAACCGCGGGCCACTCCCCCCGTCACCCATCCCGCCTTGTGGGTGGGTTGGACGGGACAGGGGGTATTTTGGGATGTGTCCATGTGTGTACAGGGAAGGAGGTGGGTTTGGAAAAGGTAGGAGGCGGGGGGGGGGGGGTGTTATTGTCACAGGGGCCAATTCCAGGTGGCAAATTTCAGGCATGCTTGTGCGGCGGGATCAGTAACCAAAGGCGCGCGGCCCCCCCCCCCCCGCCCCTCCACACCTCCACAGGCAACCCCATTAATTGTGTCCGACAGAGGGAATTGGTTTCAATTGACCCCCATTCAGCGGGGCCTTTGACTGGCAGACAAAGGACACAGCCACGTGGAGACTAATGCTGTGGCTGAGCAGCCCGGAGGTGGTCCAGGCCCCGCCAGCCTTCCCTTCTCCCGTCCCGTGGGTGTGATCGGGCCGCAGTTTGATCACGCTTTGCATCGGTGCTGATAAAACAGGAAGAGCGCGGCGTTTTTTTTTTTTTTTTTTTGAAGGTTTTGTCAGTCGAATCCGAGCCTGCAATGTCTTTGAACCCCTTGGGGAGCACTCAGTAGGGACTTCACAGGAGACACTGCAGGTGAATAGAGGACAAATTACCACCAATAGTTGACACCATGTGACTTCTTAAGTCGGTTAAGTACACTTAGACCTTAATTATTTTTTTGGGATTGCAAGTTTATTAGTATTGTATGTTTAAATTTGCAACTGAGGCATTCTCATTAAGTATGAGTTCATTTATATACTTTTCCATGAAATTATTTGGATAATGTTTTTTTTTTTCACGTATTAGTTTTACGTTTTTTGACGTATTAGTCAATATAACGTATTGTTTTTAGAGAATGTTGTTCATCTTTTTACCCCTCAATGACTCAGAAAATACTCAACAGCATTAATATTTTTGCCATTATTTAGGAATTACATTTTATAGTCATGCTATTATTGATATATAAACAATATTATGTGATGACTGACGAAGGAAAATTCACGATTTCTGGTTGAGACTGAGAAAATTAAAATGACTAAACAACTTTACATATATTTTAAGACACTACAGGTGAAAAGGGATGTACCAATCTAATTGATATTACACTTCCCCAGTGGATTTCCTACATTATGATCATTATATTTTGTATAAAAAATGTACATACAAATTAGGCATTATGTAATGGTAAGTTTTGGCAAATTAAGGAGAAATCTAGAGAAACAAATAGATACGTTAAAGACCTAAATGTGTATTTCTCAGATGTTTCCACTAGTCGGAAAGAAGACTCTAATGAACCAGTGCAGGAAAAAAAGGAGGTTCTGCCTATATTGTTTTCATTAATGGAGTAAAACATCCCCTACTTGCATTGCAGAGTTTCAAGGAGGAAGGGAAGAAGATGGGGGGGGTCAGCAAATGTTATAATAATGAAGATGGAAGCAGTCAGTGAGCACTACGCGATTGATGTGGAATGAAATTTTTAGAGGTTGATATTATTGATCTCAACGATGCGTATAAATCCATTTCCCTCCAATAAACTGTAGGCCTCAATTAAGATAAATACTTTTCCACCCCCCCCTTTCAATCTGTTTCTTTGTAAGCGCTCACTGCTCCTCTGAAGCCTGGCGCTCCAGTATGCGTTTTGTCAACAGGAATCTACAATACTAATTAGTCATTTATTAACATTTCAATACCCTTTTTTTAATGCGCCTTCTTTCCCGTGCATGTCTCCATGGCGACTCTCACCAGGGGTGATGGGGCAGATTTACAGCAGACAATATTGTTGCAGGCAGAAATGAGCATGCAGGAAAAAGCCTGTCGGAGCCATTTGGTCCCTGCCACTATGTACACATTCATGCTTGTAGTAACAATGAGGTCACAATAATGATACTGGAAACCCCCGAACCGCCCAGCTCGGTCACACCACCCTGGTGGACCCTTTCACACCCACAGCAAAGACAGCCTTTCCTCCACGCTTCAATCACAGGGTGGTAAAAGGTGTACAGTGGCGTTTGTGTGCGTGCGTGCGTGCGTGCGTGCGTGCGTGCGTGCGTGTGTGCATGTGTGTGTATGTGTGTGTGTGTGTGTGTGTGTGTGTGTGTGAGTCCGAGGTGGCTGGTCGCCGTGAATCAGCCGCGGCGATGGCAGGCTCAGGGCGCCGTGCCTGGATTCCCAGTATATTTAAAATCCCTCCTAATTAAACCTAATAGAATGTAAATTTAATATCTGCAGAGATTGTGTGCCGCTGGCCCCGGCCCGCTCCAATTTAAGGATTGATGGAGGCCAGCAGGGAGGTTAATTGCTGACTTGATCTACTGTCCCTGTGACACGGTGCAGGGCTGTTTTAATTGGGGCTGATCCGCTGCTACACGGGCAGATTTCATTAGGGCTAGCTGGCCCCCTCGCAAAACCCCCCCGACATTTCCTCGCTCTCTTTTTCTCTGACTGGAGACAATTTTTGGATCAGCGCCCCCCATCTGCGTCTGCAGGAAGCGCAGGGGGCCGGTACCAGGCATCAATCTTCTTTCCTTTTGTCCCCCGTCCTTTCTCTCGCTTGAGCAGCATGAAATTAAAGGTGGGGCCCCGGACTGGCCCCGCTCCTAATGAATGCTGTAAAATGCTCGGTAATGACAGGCCGGCGTGATGGATCAGTCATTTCCCACCGCGAACACGCCCGTGAACACAGAGATGGAATTATGAGCTAAGCTGTGTTGATTTTGGGAAGACATGGTGTCTTTATCTGCGTTTATTCAATAAATGTTTCTGGGTTTAATTTAAATTGATGCAAATTTTACATTTTGTAAAAAATTATCATTGGCTTCATCCAATCTA